GGGGGGGGGGGGGGAGGGAGAGAAGGAGAGAGAAGGGGGAGAGAGAGAGAGAAGGAACAGGATTCTCAATACCCTATTTTTTTAACTTGTTTCGATGCAATATTGCATAAGCGTCACAAGTGCTCATCGTCCCAAAATGCGAATTCGGCAGGCCCAACCAGCTGACCTACTTGAGCAATCACTACTCAAAAACCAGTGGACAATCTTCAACACATTCTTTTCACTTACCTGTGCATCAAAACACCGATAGTTTTTTTTTTTTCAGCATTCACCACATACTGCATACTTTTACGATTTTCTCATCGTTACCAACTATGAGTCATTCACTTCCCCCCCCCCCAAAAAAACAAAAAGAATCATAATCATTGATCAATCATTCACTTCCAACCACCACTGCCATGCCAATCCGGCTAAGCACCCAGGAATTCTATTCTGTTGTTGTACTGTTTGTATAAGATGGACCCAGTTGTTAGGGCCAGCGTTCTAGCTCCATTGGTATAGCACATGAGTGGCCTTCCGGAGGTCATGGATTCAATTACCCACGTCATCCATTTGACTGATCAGAACGTGGCTTAAAAATATTCCTCTGCCGTCAGTAAATCAGTGATGCTCAACACCTACTGCCTTGTTCTCCACCTTACAAAAAAAAAAAAAAAAAAAAAAAAAAAAAAAAAAAAAAAAAAAGAACTGCTTCCTTGCTTTATTCAAACAAAAGAGAGGGGGCGGCCACCACACATAAAGACCGGGTCTGGGAACATTACCCAGCGTTATGCATTTGACGGAACCATGTGGGACCCGAATAACAAGTACCTCTAGATGAATAATTCTCGACTCCTAAACCTGAGCTTAACCCCTAAATCCTAGCTTGTACTATGCCTACTGGACGTGGACGAGCAGCCTCAATCTCACAGCAGGCTTCTGGCCAATGACCAGGGCAGAGGGTTGAAGGGAGAAGCCTACTCAGTGTACTCACCCCAAATTCAGAAATTCTATTTTTTTTTTTTTTTTTAATTGTTTTGTTTTCAGGTTTTTTTTTGTTGTAAATGATCAAATTAGTTAATTTAGTTTTGAAAATGTCCAGAACGATAACATCATAACAGAGAAAATCATCATGAAGCCACAGCTGAGCTGTCGCCTTTGGCAAACTCTCCCACTTTTCCTCCCCTTTTTTCATTTTAATTTGGACTATTTCTCGATTTACGGGTGTCATCCTCACGCAGCACTGTACTAATCTTCTCTGTATCGTTCCAATTTCAACGGATGTCCTGAAGGACATTTTCGGATTTTCCTCTTTTACAATCCACCTCTTTGAATGTCCCACCGTTCTACTAATCGAAATCAATACTAGTTTCTTTCCTTTTCTCCTCATCCTTTTCTCCTCATCCTTTTCTCCTCATCTCAAGCCGTATTCAGTCTAATACAGTACCGTTCAATCTTAACCCCAATCTAGTCTAATTCACAAACAATGACATGCCCATGCCACACAGTAGGAAAAAGAACGAATTGGGATTTGCAACCAGCCCTGCCACTTGGCAAGATTGGCGTGGATGTTTTTTGGCCACAAGCATGGCACATCAGGTGTGGCCCTTCTTGCTTAGACCGCCACTACCTTTCCCGCAATGAGGAAAAGTGGGAATATAGCCTACACAGCCCTACAGCGCATTCTTTGGGGGCTGGGCCGAACAGCGCAAGCCGTAGGTAAATTTAATCAGCAGGCACCGTTTCGTTTTGGCCTCCTGAATGTCCGGGAACGCACCCCACAGCCAATACATGTGAAAGGTACATCGGTCAGAAACTGAAAAGTGGGTGTTTTTTGGCCACAAGCATGGCACATCAGGTGTGGCCCTTCTTGCTTAGACCGCCACAACCTTTCCCGCAATGAGGAAAACGTGGGAATGTAGCCTACACGGCCCTACAGCGCATTCTTTGGGGGCTGGGCCGAACAGCGCAAGCCGTAGATAAATTTAATCAGCGGGCACAGTTTCGTTTCGGCCTCCGGAATGTCCGGGGACGCACCCCACGGCCGATACATGTGAAAGGTACATCGGTCAGAAACTGAAAACGTTAAAAACCCAAGCCATTTGCCTACAAGGTTATGGTTATGGGAATTATTACGTCGGACGGAAGGTTTCACAGTCGAGTTAAAATAATGTTCTCAGACTAGGAAACGTCACTGGGAAGGACCAACCCTTGGTCAACCCCCAACCATGTCTACGAGACGCAGTTGAACGGGTTCGTGAACGTGAGGTGCGGGTAGGATTAGGAACTAGACGCGTTCGATCAGGAAAGAGAGCGTTTTCCTATGTATTGCGTTGAATAAGAGCGCACATACCAGGGCTCGAAGAGTGCACTGAATAGACGATTCTTTGTTACAAGCATGCAACCTAACACAAGGGTGAGCAGTCCGGTGCATCACCACTTCTTCCAGACCTTTAAAATAATAAAACCCTTAGGGTTCCGGCTCCTTTTTCCATTCCAGGGAACATCAGTCCGGTTCCTATTCCACCAACAACTCGGCAAGAATTACAATAAGCACTCACACATGCTCCTCCCCATTATGGTGCGAAGGCCCGAAGGACGGCCTTCATTACTTCCCAAAGGAAGGATGTCCCACCCTTCTGCCGTTGGTTGCTACCGTCGTCACCCGAATAGAGCGCCCGGTCATTATAGCTGTATTTGACGCAGATTTCAGTCCCGATGCGGCCATAATTACCGGGCGTTCTATTCGGGTGACGACGGTAGTCTGGTTAGTAGTTACCCTATCGCTTTGGTACTTGTAGCTTGCCTCCTCCTTGGGCCCCAACCAGGCTGTTCCGCTCAGCTCCTCGACTGTCGGATTTTCGATACTTGCTAGAACTGCTGGTTTGGCCCCCCTTGCCGTGGTCTTTGCTAAAACCTTAAGCCCTGACCGACTTGGTTGCTACATAGTAGCAAGTACTACAAACTTTGCTAGAGACCTAAACCCTTGCCGACTTTTCTTTCCCCTTTTTTTCGGTATTTGCTGTTTACCCTTGCTACAACCTTGAACCCGAGCGATCCCAGGTTTCAGTTTGCTCAATCTTTCAGTTTGCTCAATCTTAGTATCCTTTTTTGTTATCTGAACCACTAGTGAATCTTAAACCCTAAACCCTAGAGAGCCTTTTACTGTTTACTGTGGTCTTGCTTTTGTCTGTTAGCGTGCGAGGCTAAGCCAGACACAGGTACTTTGTCCCAATGATTTGCTCCAGTGACAGGAACTTGGTAAACACAACTATGTGAAGGACAATATAAAAGTTCAGGAATGATGCCCGCAGGAGGAGACTGTCCTTGGGGTTGGCACAAGCCATCTGAACTCCCCGCTGGTTGAGTACAACGACAGGCACCTCCCAAGCCCTAGCATCCAAAAAAAGGGCACCGGCGGCGGGAACAGGAGTAGTCCAGGGCACCACTACTTTTTTTTGCCAAACCAGGTAACGAACCAGGCTTTGACAGTCCAGCTGGAAAGTTTACTACTCTTCGAATTTTCACTAGTAGTGACAACCATCTTCACCCGAATAAAACGCTGGGTCATTATCACCATCTTGCCGTAATCTCGGTACAATATTCAGTGTACATACAGCGATAATGACTGGGTGTTATACTCAGGTGAAGACAGTAGGAGGTCTGAGGTAATGGTGGTCGCTCCCAAATAAGTTCAGTTGCAAAACTTCACTGGTACCACTACTGTCTTCACCCGAATAGAACATATAGTCATTTTCACTGTACTTGGCGCAACTTTCAGTCCAGATGCAATGATAATGACCAGGCGTTCTATTCGAGTGAAGATGGCAGTCACTCGACTAGAAAATGGGAGGCTATCAAAGGTAGAGGTGGGGTTTGATGCAGGCAGGAACTCGCTCCTGAATTATGTTTTCAGGCATGCTCGTGGCGCTTTGCACATACATTTTCAGGACTGGTAGAGTTTGCTATTCTCCAAAACTTCACCGGTACCACTACTGTTTTCACCCGAATAGAACATACGGTCATTTTCACTGTACTTTGCGCAACTTTCAGTCCAGATGCAACGATAATGAACGGGGGTTCTATCCGAGTGAAGATGGCAGTCACTCGACTAGAAAATGGGAGGCTATCGAAGGTAGAGGTGGTTTGATGCAGGCAGGAACTCACTCCTGAATTATGTTTTCTGACGTGCTCGCGGCGCTTTGCACATACATTTTCAGGACTGGTCCAGTTACCAGCATGTCATCAGACTAGCACCTAATAGTGTTACGAGTCTTATGACTCGTCAATACGAGCTATCTGACTGGCCCTTGCGGTCATAGGTGTGCTACTGGATCCGTCCTCTGTCTGACCGAGAAACAAGCTCCATGTTTCGACCTGGGGCAGGCAGAAATAATCCACTCGTTAGCTAACTTTCACTGCAGATATCTGCTCTTCCGCTGCAGTCAGAGCTACAGTCACCCAACACCTCAGCGCTCAGCGCCCAGCTCCCCTAATTTCACCCAGCGCTGCCGCTTAGCAGCCTGGCAGTCCATACAACAAAATCCACATTACGCCTGGTCATTGCCCAGCACACCAACGCATAGTACTGGGCCACAGTCCTGGTCTACATCCAGCAATTCTGGACACTCCAGATCAACTCTGATAGTCCAAACAGTTGGAACAAATCTTTGCCCTCTCCCCCAGGCCCGCCTGTGTAGTCGGTCTGGATCTGAGCTCTTAGTTAGCCACACGAGAGGGGGTGCGAGATCAACTCTGTGCTGCGAACCGA